TCTTTTTTTTCCTTTTTTTGTCTATGAAGTTGCTGGGGTTTTTTGGCCTGTTTCGTGTATGTGTGAAACAATGTCCAACAATAAACTGGAATTTTATTTTGCTGAGTTGTTCTAACAAAAAAATAAAAAAAATAAAAAAAAATAAAAATTATTTTTATTTTATATGTATGAGTGTATATTGCCTGCATGCATACATGAGTGCACCCATGTCATGCAATGCCCATGGAAGTCAGAGAGGGTGTTGGATCCCCCAGAACTGGAGTTACCCATGGTTGTTAGCCACCATGTGGATGCTGGGAATCAAACCCCAGTCTTCTGCAAGGGCAGTCCATGCTCTTAACCACTGAACCATTTCTCCAGCCCCAAGTCAGTGGTTTTTAAATACAGATCTCATAAACCAAGTGTCCTGTGGGAAGTTGAAAGATTTCTGAAAAAGATTTGAGCAAGCCAGGCATGGTGGTGCAGCTCTTTAATCCCAGCACTCAGGAGAAAGAGGCAGGAAGATCTCTAAATTCAAGGCCAGCCTGGTCTACACAGTGAGTTCCAAGCCAGCTGGGGTTACAGGGAGACCCTGTCTCCAAAAAAAAAAAAAAATTGAGCAAAACTTGTCAATCTACCAAGCCAACCCCATGCTAAAATGCTCACAGTTTTCTAGGTACCAATTTAAAAATAATTTTTTTTAGTAAGCCTCTTGAAATTGACTTTCTGAAAACGACATAAAGTTCTAATGGAGAACCTTGATTTTTTTTTTTTTTTTTTTTTGCTTGTTTTAAGAAAATGTATGGAGAGCTAGATGTCCTGTTCCTGATGGATGAATATGATACAGTTTTGGCTTATGAGAACAAAGGCAAGAGTGACCAGGCAACTGACAGAAGGGACCCCTTAATGGACACCTTGAGCAGCATGAATAGAGTCCAGCAAGTAGAGCTCATTTGTGGTAAATACTGTTTGTGTGCAGAAGTTTGTCAATAAAAATGTATAAAGATAATCAACATCTGTATTCCTAATTTCATGCAAAGAAAAATAAAGTTTGAATTATGAAGTAGGCCTCAACTACCTTTTTTTTTTTTGAGACAAGTTCTCTTTTTAGCCGCAGCTGGCCTGGAACTCTATGTAGACCAGGCTGAATATTTGGTTGCTTATTACCTAGTGGCTTATTAGAGTTTTATTTCATACTAGAATAATGGTTAAGAAACCACAGCATGTGCTATTTTAATTTAGGGCAAACAGTGAATATAGAATAATATAAAATTATTTTACCCATTAAAATAATTTGCTGAGGCTCAGCGTGGTGGTGCACGCCTTTAATCCCAGCACTCGGGAGGCAGAGGCAGGCAGATCTCTGTGAGTTCAAGGCCAGCCTGGTCTACATAGTGAGTTCCAGGACAGCTGGGGCTACAGGGAGACCCTGTCTCAAAAAGACCAAAATAATAATAATTTGCTGAGCATTATATTTCATATTTGATCAAAGTGTGATGGCCTTTTGAGAGTTTTCAAGATTGCTTGAGTAGTTCACAGGAAACTGCTTCAAGGGAAAAATCTCCCCAAGCCCTAGTGTGTCCAGTTTATTTCAATGTTTCTTTCTCAGCCAGTTTCCACTTGGATCCTACCACCTTTGTGTCCCTTTTATGACACTGATTATCTCTCTTATTTGTAACTAATTAATTCCTTTTGCTTTATTAGACTAAAATCTTCACATATTTTTTTAGTTGGTGTACAAGTGATGGGCTTTACTATGATATTTTCATTTACATATATCATTGTACTTTGGATATATCCAAGCACAGGTGCACATGCGCAAAACCCCGCCTAAAAATATTTCGACAGTGGCTATTTAGAGATTTTGTAGTTGTCAAGATGGCTTTGCACAGACTGTAAACTTAAGAGGGTGTATGATATGTCCAAGATTATTTTGGGTGCTTGAATTGCAGAGAAATAGAAAACCATTTACAAAAGTCTTAGCTCATCTTTATGGAAGTAAGGATATTTCTGAGTTTTGTTTGTTTGTTCTCCTTTAACTTAAAAACCCAGACATCAAAATGAAGGCAGGCCAGAGAATTGGGTTTCTGTGTGGGTTTCACTTAAGAAAACATTGGTTTAAACAACTAACACGTTCAGCTTCAGTGGCAGATAGTCTGTTTTTAGATGCTTATAGCCTATACAAACTTAAAGTATTTTTGTGGTTTTGGTTTAGAATACAATGACTTGAAGACTGAACTTAAAGACTACCTGAAGAGATTTGCTGATGAAGGCACGGTATGTTGAATTAATCTTTTTGTTTGTTTGTTTTTTGTTTTTTTGTTTGTTTGTTTTTTGTTTTTTTGAGACAGGGTCTCCTTGTAGTCCCGGTTCTCCTGGAACTCACTATGTAGACCAGGCTGGCCTTGAACTCACAAAGATCCGCCTGCCTCTGCCTCCCAAGTGCTGGGATTAAAGGCATGCACCACCACGCCCAGCTGAATTAAAGAATCCTAACTATCTTAATCATAGTTTTGTGAGTTTTGAATAAACTTGTATTTCTTTTAATGATAAAAAATTGTGTGTCTTAAATGGACTATTTAAAAGTTAATTTTCTTTTCCTTTTTATTTTTTGAAACAAGGTGTGTCTGTGTAGCCTTTCCTAGCCTTAAACTCTCCATCCTTCTGCCTCAGCCTCCTAAAATGCTGGGATTACAAGGGGTCTGCTACCACTGCTGGCTGAGTAGTTGAATTGGCAGGCCGAGGAAGATCAATAAGGGGCAGTGAACTATCAAGGAACACATTGGGAGTTCTTACTGACAACCTGAATCGGGGCAGGAATAGTTAAAGGGAATCTGAAGAGCAGCTGTAGCTGAGAAGACTGTTGGAAGGAATCTAGGGCACAGAATGTGCTGATTCAGACCTTGAAGCAAAGATCCTGGGGAGGAGAATAGGAAGATGAGAGGAGCAGTTAATCAGATTCTGAGTGTTCAGGGGTAGCGAAACTTACGCTGGGGACTGAAAATTTTCCCTTGCTTGGTAAGATTTATTTATTTTTATGTGTCTGAGTGTTTGCCTGCATGTGTGTGCCTGATCCCTACAAAGGCAAGAAGAGGGTATTAGAGTCCCTAAAGCTGGAGTTATGGATGGTTATGAGCTGCCATGTGGGTGCTGGGGACCAAACCCAGGTCCTCTGTAAGAGTAACTAATGCTCTTAACTGCTGAGTCATCTCTCCAGCTCCAAGGGGTTTTTTTTTTGGTGGGGGGGGGGCTCTTTTTGAGACAAGGACAAGGTCTCCCTGTAGCCCCAGCTGGCCTGGATTCGCTAATGGAGATCAGGCTGGCCTCGAATTCCCAGAGATCCTCCTGCCTCTGCCTCCCAAGTGCTGGGATTAAAGGTGTGTGCCACCACGCCCAACAAAATTTTTTTTCTATTTATTATTTGTGGGTATGAGTGTATTGCTTTCTATATGTAAGCACATCGTGCCGTGCCCACAGGGGTCAGAAGATGGTATCAGATCCCCTGGAATTGGAGTTATAGATGATCCTTCACCACCGTGTAGGTGCTAGGAATTGAACTCCGATCCTCTGCAAGAGCAGCCAGTGCTCTTAACTGCTGAACCATCTCTCCAGCCACCAAGTCTATACTTTTAAGCCTGAGTCTAAGATGTATAATGTTTTGAAATAGAATTTCAAGTAAATTTACAGGAATTTCTTAGTCTTCTAATTATATGTTTGTGACAAAATGTCACCTTTTTTGCATGACCTAAGGTTGTAAGTATTTAAGGTTTGTCCTGCTTTAGCCAGATTACAGATCAGGTTGAATGAGGGCTGAAGGGTCCTGCATGGTGCTGTTGTGGCTGCTTTCCTAGGATTAGTCCCACCAGTCTATTTTATGTCATCTTTTTTTCCTGGTAAATGTGATTCTGTAGCTGCCTGGGTTTCTGGACAAGGATGGTGATGCCCTGCTTGTGTAAGAGGGAACACTAAAAGGCCTCATTCGAAATGGTCCTCTTGCTTTTGGGGCTGGTTTCCTTTTCACTACTCGCTTATACACCTAGGCTTTCTCTGTTGCAAAGGCTCTCTGATGGTTCTTGACTTGAGTGTTCTTCCTGCTAGAACTGAGACTGTTCATGGTGTGCTGGGGCTTTTGCCTCGTGTAGCTACACTCTAGATGCTTGTGTTTCAGAATCTTAAAATCATATTAGGGGACTGGGGAGATAACTTAGCAGGTAAGAGCTCTTGTACAAGTCTGAACACTTGAGTTCAAATCCCCAGAACCCACATAAAAAGCTAGGTGTGGTTGCACACACCTGTAACCCCAGCACTGTGGAGGGCAGAGACAGGAAGACTAGGGGTTTGCTGGCCACAGGCCTTGTTCCAGGTTCAGTGAGAGACCCTGTCTCAAAGAAATAAGATCGAGAGTGATCGAATGCAGGAGACTTGACATCCTTCTCTGACATCTGTGTGCAGATGGCACAGGCCTCTGAATGTACTCCTCTCGTGCACCTGTGCATCAGTATTAGAGAAAAATAAATACCATTTTTTCCATTTGCAATTTGAAACCATTTTATGCAGAGAAATGTTTGCATCTGATGTGATGATTTAAAAGAACAGGAAAACGTGATTTAAAAAATTTGGGGTACCGCACTCGGGAGGCAGAGGCGGGTGGATCTCTGTGAGTTGGAGGCCAGCCTGGTCTACATAGTGAGTTCCAGGACAGCTGGGGCTACAGGGAGATCCTGTCTCAAAAAGACAAAAAAAAATTGGGGGGACCATGGGTATGGTGGCACATGCCTTTAATCATAGCATTTGGGAGTCAGGCAGGCAGATCTCTGTGAGTTCGAGGCCAGCCTGATCTACATAGTATGAGTTCCAGGCCAGCTGGGGCTACAGGGAGACCGTGTCTCAGAAAAGACCCCCCCCCCAAAAAAAAAAAATTGGGTGACCAGTGAGATGGCTCAGCAGGTAAAGGTACCTGCTGTCAAGCCTGACAGTCTGAGTTTGATCCCTGGCACCAACATGGTGGAGAAGGAGAACCAACCAACTCCTGAAAGTTGTCTGCTGACCTCCACCCACACACCATGGCATGCACACATGTACCCTCCCCCAATAAATACATAAATGTGACTAAAGACAACTAGAATTCAAATGTTCTCTAATTTCTATGGGTTTAGGTCTTCTACCATAGTATCTAAGGGATAGGGCTAGTATGCTTTTTATTATCCTCGTGCTCCGTACTTGTAACCTACAATAAGGATCATGTGCTCTTTTATTCTGTTTCCTTCACCCTTCCCACCCCACAGCCTGTTTTCCTATAGTAAGTATATGTGTTACCTTTGTCCTTAAAAATAAACTGGGGCAGGGGTGCGGGGGATGGCTTAGCAGTTAAGAGCACTGGCTACTCTTGCAGAGAACCCGGGTTCAATTCCCAGCACCTATTTGGCGGCTAACAACTATCTATAACTCCAGTTCCGGGAGACCCGACACCCTCTTCTGATCTCCATGAGCATTGCAGAACACAGGTGCCCTACCTACATGCAGGCAATACACACATACACATAAAATAAATAACAAATTTTTTGAGGGCTGGGCGTGGTGGCACACGCCTTTAATCCCAGCACTTGGGAGGCAGAAGCAAGCGGATCTTTGTGAGTTCAAGGCCAGCCTGGTCTCCATAGTGAGTTCCAGGACAGCTGGGGCTACAGGGAGACCCTGTCTCAAAAAGACCAAAAAAAAAAAAAAAAAAAAGTTTTCTTTTGAAAATAGACCAAAAAACTTGTATCTTGTTTCCATTAGGTCAGCTGCCACAGACTCACTCACCCTGGGTTGTCCAAGTTTACTTTCTTTTAATTCATGTTTTCCTTTTGTCTTATTTTTATTGTTTTAGTTTGCTAATATTAAAGTCGTTTTAATGCTACTTTAATCCTTTGCCCATAAATTAATCTATTACATAATAAAATGGATTTATTGCATAAACGAGATGTATAATTTGGCTGTTTTAAAATGATTTTTTCCTCCAGCCATTTTTCTGTTCATATAGCAGTCATCTTCAATTTTGGACTCAAAGAGCAAACGTTTTTACTTTAAAAAACAAATATTCTAGCGGCTGGTGAGATGGTTCAGTAGTTAAGAGCACTAATTGCTGTTGCAGAAGACCTGTGTTTGGTTCCTAGCACCTGCACTGGGGCTAACAACAATCTATAACTCCAGTTCCAGGGGATCCAGTGCTCTTTTCTGGCCTCCAAGGGCTTTGCACGGCATGGATACACTCAATATGCATGCAAAACACTCGTACATAGAAAATAAAAATAAATATAAAAAAGTTTTCTTTTCATTCTCTACTTAATCAGTGCAGAAGAAATCCCAAATCTAAGCTGGGCCTGGTGGTGCATACCTGTCATCCGAGTGCTCAGGAGGCAGAGGCAGATGGATCTTTGTGTTTGAAGCCAGCCTGGCTGAATAGACTGTTTAGACTGTTGGGACAGTGTGCAGCCCTGAAGGAGAGTACAGTAAGCTGTTTGCTGGGTGATACGCCATCCTGCGGGCCATCCTAAAGGCAAACTGGCTCTGAGAGCACAGAGTGATCTTCTTAGTAGAGCTGGAGTCCGTTCATATGCTGGCTCTGCCATAGTTCTGCTAACCCTTACTAAGAACATACCATGTGGGGCTGGAGAGTTGGCTCAGGGGTTAAGCACTTCCTGCTCTTGCAGAGGACCTGGGTTCGTTTCCCAGCACCACATAGAGGCTCACAACCATCTTTAACACCAGTTTCAGGGGATCTGACGCCCTCTTCTGGCCTCTGTGGGCCCTATGTACATGAAGGAAAGTACTCATACATATAAAATTAGATATTTTTGAATCCCAGCACCCACATGGTTGCTAACAACTGTCTATAGGACCAGTTCCAGGGTATGCAATGCTATCTTCTGTCCTCTGCTGGAACTGCATGACACAGGTGCACTTAAACACATGAAGGCTTAACACTCATACATGTAAAATAAAAATAATTTTTTTTAATGAAAAAAAATCAGATATTAAAAGAAGCTGGGCATGGTGGCACACACCTTTAGTCCCGGCACACACCTTTAGTCCCAGCACTCGGGAGGCAGAGGCTGGTGGATCTCTGAGTTCAAGGCCAACCTGCTCTACATAGTGAGTTCAGGGAGACCCTGTCTCAGAAAGACGAAAAGAAAAGAAAAAAAGAAGATACCATGTGCCAGGTGGTGGTCCATTACAGACATTGTAGCTCAGTTGATGTTCCGATGACCCTGTTAGATAAGTGCTACTTTGATTCCATTTCATATAGGGATGCCAAGGTGGGTGTTGCAGGCTGAGGTTTGAGCCATTGTGCTCTGCTGCCTGGCTGAGTGACTCTAGGTGGTCAACCTCGGTGATCTCTGCATAAAGGTATTAACTACATATTAAGATGCAGAGGGCCCTCAGGCATGGTGGCGCATGCCTTCAGTCCCAGCACTTGAGAGGCAGAAGCAGGCAGATCTTTGTGAATTCAAGGCCAGCCTGGTCTACATAGTGAGTTCCAGGCCAGATGGGGCTACAAAGAGACCCTGTCTCAAAAAAAAAAAAAAATACAGAGGACCCTATCAAATGTGGTTTGACTTGGGATTTTTCCCATTGCTATGATAAAGTTGTATACATTTAGTAGAAACTGTACTTCAGATTATAAATTTATCACTCTTTCCAGTGATGGTCAGATCCTTGCTCACCACATTGGGTGGTAGCAGCAGGTGCTGGTCAGCTGGGGATCAGGTCTTTATGTAGCCCAGGCTGGCCTTGAACTTGTAGCAGTCTTCCTGTCTGTGCCAGGATTATAGTCATGTACTACCAGGCCAGTGGTCTGACTAATCCTTATCAGCAGGATTCTTTACTTGTGAACATTCTGAACTTTTATTGCTGTAGTTCCCTTTCATAATCTTGGCTTTTCATCTGCAGGTTGTTAAGAGAGAGGACATTCAGCAGTTCTTTGAAGAATTTCAGTCAAGAAAGAGGAGGCGAGTGGATGGGATGCAGTATTACTGCAGCTAGAGTGGAATGTGATGCCTCCTCGTCCGGCCAACGGAAAGGTCACTGTTCTGTTCCGGAATAAAAAGAGGCCTGTGTCACACTTGGTCCCCTTTTTGTCCTCCTCTGGCCTCAGGCTCCTTCCTTCTTATCAACAGTAGCCACAATGTTTATGGTGGTCTCGGCAAGCCTCCTTGATGACGCAGCTCAATGCAACTCATTCCACAGACTTCAGCTTTTTTGCTCAGGATACCCAGGGTTTTTGCTTATATATTTTAAGAAGTTTGGTTTGGTTTTGAGAAAACAAGTTGGTTTCTCTTTAGTGACTTGTTCTTTGACTCCCAAATGTATACTTTGCTACAGACCTGTTGCTTACAAGTCCTCTAGGTTTCTTGGAGGTTCTCTTGCCATCAGCCCGAACCTCTGTGGGTCCCCTTCACCCCCATAATCATGGTGCCTTGATTCAAAGCTTCCTCAAGCCTACTTTGGCCCTTCCTGCCCTCACTGCTTTCTGGAGTTTGATTACGGCTTAGATTTTGGAACTTTGCTCTGAGCTAACCTCCAGAGTAGCCAGGACTGATGTTCTGGCATGGATGTCTGTGGTAGGCCAGAGATAGGCTAGTGACAGTGTTAAGGAAGTATACCTTTGTTCTGAATTTTGCTGATCAATTTAAAGTGAAATTTTCATTCGTAATTCGTGGCACTCGACTATTAGTGTTAGTACTGTAATGCTCACAGGGCTCCTAGAGAATCTACCCAATACTAGTCCCTTTTCTGCTGCCTAAAAAATGACCAGATATCACCCCTGTGAGATCTGGGTGGTTTACAAAGTCCTCTGGATTTCTTATATTATCAGGGATATGCGTAAGCATATATTAAAATGGACCTATTTTGATATTGTTCTGTTAGGAAAATGTTATTGTAGCCCCATTAAGTTATTTTTCCTCTTGAGTCTGTGCTGAAGGGAAAGATGCTGACGGACCTTAGTTGTAATCAGCTGGGCAGTGACTGCCTTGGAAGAGAGACTGTAAAAGAGATTCTAGACAAAGCCCTTGGCTGCACAAGTGACGAGTTCATGTGTGTAAACAGCATGCACAGCCACTTCACTAATGGCTGAAGTCTTTTGAAGACCCTTAGGGAACGTTGTATAAAACCCTGCATGTAAGGGAAGCCCATTCAGGTGGTATGACATCTCTTTGCAGCCCCTTGGTTTATGTGGAAAATATCTTGATCCCCATAAAGAGCCCTAAATTGGACCCTGGAGAGGAGCAAAGTCTTTCCTAACACACTAAGGCATATTAAACACATTTTAGGTCACATGTTAGTGTGAATATTCCTTTTGTGCCCAGCAGTTGTATGCATGAGTGCTTGTCAATTCCCGGACAAGATGAAGTAGCCTACAAGCAGCAGGCCCCAGGAGATAGGCAAGCCCCTGTGCTATGGCCTCCCTCCTAGTGACAGATCCTGTGAAGACTGATTTGCAGAGCTGAAAGGTTCTGCAGGCTGCAGGAGATACCTGTGTGTTGAGCTAGCCTGGAAAGAGCTCAGTTACACACCTCAGGTGTCTATAGCTTGAGAATCTTCAAGTCTGAGGATATTTTGAACTCCTTCAAAGTTGCACTATTAGTATACCATCGTGTCCTCAACCTTTATAATCTTCCCAAATGTCTGATTTAACTACCAAAAAGTTCCTTTCTTCCTGTGACAGGTCAGAATCAAGTCAATGGCAGTGCGTTATTGAGCAACGTAAGGACAAACCCCAGTACTGAAGGGCTTTCTTTATGAAATGCACTCCTCTATATTAACCAGAAAACCTCTTTTTGTACCTGTTCACAACTTGTTTTCTTACTGACTATATTGGGTTGTCTCTTCTTACAGAGACTGGTTTTGGCCGGCAAGTGGCAGTTGATATTAATGCATGTTTTATGCAAAACAAAAATGTAATACTAGTTGCTTTCAAAGAATTCTGGCATCATGTACATTTTTGTAGAAATTATTACTGGACTTACATACTTCAATCAGGTTTCTGTAGAATCTAAATAAAACAAATTCATAATAGTTGCTTTTCTGATTGTTCTTGGCCCTTTTTTGTTGTTGTTTTTTCGTCTGTGTGTATGTGTGTGTGGTTTTGTTTTTTGAGTCAGGGTTTCTCTTGTGTAGCTCTGGCTGGCCTGTAACTTGTTTATATAGATCACGCTGGCCTTAAACTCACAGAGATCCACCTGCCTCTGCCTCTCAAATGCTAGGATTAAAGACGTGCTACCACACCTCACCCTCTCTGTTTCTGGTCCTAATTAAATCTGTACAACCTCCCCCTGCTGCTGCTAAGAAAGTGGGTCTAAGGGTCTTCCCATAGCTTTCCTACCCTGGGCTCCTGCTTCCAAAGCAGATGGATTTGTTCAAGATGTGAGGCAGTTCATTCTGTGCTCACTGCACTATAAAACAGGCTTGGGGCTGGGGAAATGACCAGCGGGCAGTAGCTTGCTGCACAAGTGTGAGGACCTTAGTTCAAATCCCCAGAATCCACATTAAAAACCAGGCCTATAGTTTGAGTGCTGTGGGGGTGGGAACAGGAGGATTGCTGGGGCTTGTGCCTTGCCCCATTTAGTGAGAGACCCTGTCCCAAGAGAATGAGCTAGAGAGTGATAGAGCAGGACACTGGACAGCCTCTCTGCTCCTGCACCCCACCCGCCATGAGCATATAATACATACTAAAAGAAAAAGCCTCAGTTCAGTGAGGCTTCCATTCTTGGACTTGCTGTCTGCATGGAACAGTGTCGGGCAGCCTGGAGATCATCCAGGAGGTTGCAGCCCACCACTCCCATGTGCCAGTGAGCTCTGCAGCACCTGCACTTGCTTAGGTTGTGACAGGTTCTCTGTATAGGTTGGACGTAGAAATAAAGCAATGCTGTCTGAAAAAAAAGAAAATGAGCCTGATGTGAGATCCAGAGCAAAATTCCTTCACCGGCTGACTTTCCAATGCCTACTAAAGAGGTAGGGGCTATAATTGCAGGGTTAGCTGATGCAGCTGTGTATAATGAGGGCTTGGACACATGGTCTAAGAGAAAGGTGGGGTCTGCCTGTATGGTACTTAGGTCACAAATAAACAGATGAGACCCATACCTGTAGTCCAGTACTCAGGAGGATTAGCCAGACTGGACCACATAGCTAGACTCCATCTCTAGAGAAGCAAAACAAAATCATCAAAACCTAAAGCCAGTGAAGAGGCCTATCTATCTCTGACCTCCACTCTTTGCTTAGAGGTTACACAAATGTTAAAAATGAGTTAGGTGAATGTTTCTCTACTGTCCTGGAACTGATCCTATAGCTAAAACCTGCTGACAGCAGCCTTAGGGTCAGGAAAACGTGGTTCTCCTTTATTCCATTACAGGACCCTGTGTGGAGCAGAGGGAAATTGAAGGAGCAAGCCACGAAAGTGGCCTAGTCCTAGTCCAGCCCCCTGTGGAAGGTCAATTCTATCTGAGAAGGCAGGCTGGCAGAGTTCCCAGAGGCTGATAGGACTGTTTCATAATCAGATCACCTTGAAGCTGCTGCCAGATATTGCCTAGATCTGAGCAGGCATCCAACCTTGACCCCTGCTGGTACCCACTGCTGTCCCTGAATCAGATCATTTGATAGGGCTATACTACCTGATTCCCACATGGCAATTTGGCTACTACTCAAATTGCTTTTTTGTTTTGGAATAGCTCTTAGCCCAGTTGGTAATGATAAACGTGAGTTTATTAGCATCTGTGTTTTACCCTCTAAACCACAAATCCAGGGAGGTCAGGGACCTCCATTACAGTGCTGGCACAGGCTTGGTGCCCACTCTCAATGGTTGTGCCATTTCTTATTGAACACACCGTGAGTGTTGAAGTTTCCTGAGCACCTGGCATGGGGAAGCTCCTGTACCTCACTCATCCTCACTGAGGCCCTAGGAAGTTGACTGTCCACCCTCACCTTACAAATGTGGAAACTGAGGCCCAGAGATGCTGAGGTGCCCCGGATAATCAGTGGTGACATGCAGAAGCCAATGCTCCTGACTCTGGGCCTGTTTTAGTCACCAAGGTGGTGTTTCTCTCTCCCTCTCTCTCTCTTTCCCCCCCTCTCGCTCTCTTTCCCCCCCCTCTCTCCCTCTCTCTTTCCCCCCTCCCTCTCTCTTTCCCGCCTCTCCCTCTCTTCCCCTCTCTCCCTCTCTCCCTCCCTCTCTCTCCCTCTTTCACTCCCTACCCTCCCTCTCTCTCTAGGTTTTCTTCTAGGGCCTATGACCTCCCCAGCCAGAAGTTTTTGATTAGGTTTACACTAACAGGCATGGATGCCCTCTTATGGAATGGGTCTCAAATCCAAAGAGAAAGTGGTTGGTCACCCCCATAACAATCATGCCACAATTGTACCAGTGGGCACATCTTGCCTGGCAGGTTGGTATTGTACCCTTAGGATATAGCTAGATGAGACTTGATAACTTTTCTTCCCCAGTGACCTGCTTTCAGCACTATGAAAGCTAGCCAGCAGGGAGGAAGCTTCCAGATCTCTTCCAGCTTGATTTCTTGATATCTGTCAGCCAAAGTGTGTAGGGAATACTGTCTTTTGGTTTGGTAAATTAACTTAGATTTCATGAAAGAACTGGACTTTTCCAGCATCCAACCTATTCCAGGGGTGATTTTCTAAACCTGACCCCAGCCCAGCATCCCTGTGTGGGGATGGGCAGTGATCTCAAAGGTAAATGCAAGGCCTGACTTCACCTGCTGGCAACACCATTAAGAACAGATACAGGAGACAGACGACGGCAGCCAGGAAGATGGCAGCAGGTGAGGTGGGGGCTGAGGACACAAGTGGACTTAGATCAGATAAGTGAGAGGAAAGGGGTCCCTGTTTCCTCACGTTGGGGCCTGATGGTATGTGGAAGCCCACAGACTCAAGCAGAGCCCAGGATGCCCCATGGGAAGCAGGTCTCCTCCACAGGAAGTGGCATAGATGAATGAGTGGAAGTCTCCTGGACAGTGGGGCCACTATGACTTCAGTGTGCAGTGTAACAGCAGGAACTCCCCAGTGGGACTGGACAGACTCACTTCAGTTCTTACCGGCCGTGACAGTCACTGCACCTCACTCTCTTCATCTCCCATATTGGAATCTTTATACCTTTTTAGTTGTGCTGAGATTAGATGCCTGGTGCAGTCAAGCGCTCATTGTTACCTGTTCCTATCACCACTTGGGAGGTTAGGAAATCAAGGCCCAGGGAGCAAAACGGTGGGAGAGTCCAAGAAGCAATCAGTTTGGTGATTGTACTGGAGATGCTGAGTGGGCAAGTTGTTGAAAATGAAAACCTTTGGGGTTGGAGAGATGGCTCAGCGGCTAAGAACACTGAACATTCTTGCAGAAGACCCAGGTTCAAATCCCAGCACCCACATGGCAGCTAACAATGGTCCGTAACTCCAGTTCCAGGGGATCCGACAACCTCTTCTGTCCTCCATGGGCATTGCATGACATGGGTGCACTTACCTACATGCAGACAATACACACATACACATAAAAATAAATAAATAAAATATTCAAAAAAAATGACAACATTCTACATTGAGCACCCTGGAAGCAAGGGACATCGGTGTCCTCATCGCATCACCACAACTTCTGCTTGCAAGGCTGAGGAGCAGGAGGCGCCCAGAAAGGGTTTTCAAATGAATCAGAGCCCCTACAGGGCACTGGGTTCCTTTCCAGACCCCTCATGGCTTCAGGGGCTGTTCTGGTCATAGTGGGTCCCCACCTGCAGCACTGTGGGTTCTCTGGGTGCAGCTGACTCCAGGCAGAGAAGAGGCAGGAACTCAAGGAAGGCCAAGCCCGTGAGGATGGCTGAAATTTCAGCCAACTAGGCCTGAGACACCTACGACAGGCTGAGCTGGGGGCCCTATCATAACTCACAGGGGGCTGCTGACTTCCTGGTGTGCCATATGTAACACATGGGGACAGAGACCTTGTTAGAACCCTTGGTAGCCTGTGCACCGATGCTGGAGTCCCAATAGGACACTTGTAGGCATGAGAATCTCCCTCTCCCAATGGCCATCAGAGCTCTGACTGGGAAAGAGCTTGGGGAGAGGAAACCATGGCTTTGTTGTGGTGCAAAAATGTTGAGGGAGGAGGGAGGAGGTACTGGGTGGATTGGAGGGACATGCTGAATATGTGATAGCAAGAGTTGCATAGAAGGGCCTGAGATCGCAGGTCAAGGCTGGGCCTAGAATCTGCAGGTAGCAGCCCCCATAGTCTTTGAAGCCATTGGTATGAGGGACCTCTTCACCGCAAAGGAGCTATGTGAAAAGTGACTGCAGGACTGAGCCTGCAGGTGGGGAGAAAGTTCAAGGTCTCTGGTGCTAAGGCTCCCGGGTGCTGGAGGACACTTGAGCTCATACCTTTTGGGCAGCTGGTTTCCAAGGGGAAGGAGGGAGGGAGCAGCAGATAAAGGCTAAGTAGAGCCTCATTAAATTAACAAGTGAGCCAGAAGAGGGAGAGGCATACAGAGGTGGGTGGGCACCCAGACCGCAGGAAGCAAGGGTGGCCATGGATCCCTTGGCTGGTGTCCACTGTGTTTGACAACATGAAGTGCCATGGCAGATGGCCTTGGCCACAGCCGCTCAGAGTGCAGCAGAGCAGAGGGCAAACTGAAGGGTTGGGGTACAGGATAAAACCAGAAAGGCACCAAGAACAGGCAAGTGTGGGAAGAAGCAAATCTGTGAGTCCTGAGGAGATGGGCTGGAAGGCTGCACCAGAGGCCCGCCAGCTAAATGAAATTCCAACGAGCCAGAGCTAGGGTGGAAACAAGGGAGGTAGGGCTGACAGGGGTGGAGTGTGACAGAGGTGTGTGAGCAGAGGCAAGGGTGATGGAGTTGGCCCCAGACCCAAAAATTGCTGTCTAAAGGCATCTGTCACCCCCAAAGGTCAGAGAGTGAGGATGGAGCTGGAGGATGCACAGGTGGAGGCCCTGCCAAAGCCCCACTGGGTAGGGGTGTTGCGGTCATGGCTGTGGGGCTGTCTTCAGCCTCCCCAAACTGGGCTGAGCACATGAGACA